ACAATCCATTAAGTGCCGAAGAAGGGGGGGCCAGACCCAATTCCTAATTAAGTGGAAGGGCTATGGTCCTGAGGATAATTCTTGGGAACCGGCTCATAATGTCCACGCACCTAGACTAGTCCGGGAGTTTCTTCGTGATCACCCGTGGTGGAGAGATCGGTGGGCATCCGGAGGTTGCCCCGTAGGGGGGGGGCAATGTCGGAGACCGTCGCGCCGCTGGGCTCGGCGCAGGCGCAGTACACCTCCCTGTACGCGAGCGCCGGGACTTGGCCGACCGCGGCAATCAGGTTCGCGCATGCGCAATAGTGACCGCGGGCGCGCGCCTGGCACCAATGACAGCGCAGGGCGGGATATTTAAACGGCCCTGAGCTGTCATTCAGTGCCTTTTGGTCTTTTGTATCCTGTGAACCTGTTTGAAGTAAGTTGCTGACCCGGATTGTGCCCTGACCTTGCTGTTTTCTCCTGTTTTGACCCTTGCTTGCCTGACCTCTCTCCTGAATGCCCCCTATTGGATCTGACCTGCTGTTGCTGACCTGGCGTGTGACCCGACTATTCTCTGCCCGCTGCTCTGTACCGCACCGTCCCCATAGTTTACCGACCCGGCTTGTATGACCCTGCTCAGCCATCCATCCATCCATCCATCCGTCCCTCTCTACGGGGTCTCCAGACCTCCTCATACCTGGCTCTCTCCCGTGGGGAGCCCCTGGCGAATACCCCTACCACTGACGGGAGTCCTCAGTAGTCACGACCTGGTCCTGGGGTACTCCAAGTCCATCCCACCATCAGGGGCCCTGGTGAACAAGTACCCTGGGCTTAGACTCCGTGCGCTGGGAACATCCGATCAGTGGAGTGCTAGTGGTACCGCCGGGCGGTCCCTTACACTGGGAAATCGATGTTGGGTCTTTTTCTACTCTCAAAAGTCCACCCCACCCTCTCCTGAAGGACAAGCAAACTGGCCCTTTGCTTAATAGAATTGAATAAGAAATACTGAAAATCTTTCTGGAGGTTATGTGACGGAGTGACTTTGGGTGGGGGGCCCATGGAACACAGCTCACTTTGGAGAGGTGGGGAAAACCCCTGTCTCAGCTCCCCATATCTTTATTATTTGTAAGTCACCCTGTGCCTGTTAGGGGTTCAGGGTGATCTGTCCTAATATTGGGGTGGGGGGTTGTTCAATGTTTGGTGTCATGTGGTTGCATCCCATTGTTCTATTGTGTGTCTGGCTTGGGAGCAAACTATTATGGGATGTATGTGTTTATGTGTATTAGCTTAGTGGGGGTGTCTCCAGCAGCCCTCCCTCCTGATGGGACTGTCTGCTGGTGGTGAAATTTGAATACCTGTGTGTCTCTTGTTACTAAATTGTAGATTGCCCCGCCCTGTCATTATGCAGGGAGGGGGGATTGTCCCCTGAGTGTATATATCTTGTATCTGTGTGCAAATAAAACTAGTCTATTTCCTGGTTTTACTTCAAGGTTGGTGTCATGGTCGTGTGTTCGGACGGGGAAGCGGGAGTATAACAGAAGTACCCAAGTGCAGACGGGGTCTGGTTCCGTTACAGGTTACCTTTTTGTTGTCTTAGATTTGAACTAAAGCCAGTCGTACATGGGTGTCTAGCTACTGTGCCTACAATCCCAGCATTTTTGTGTGCCTGGATGGACAGGTTAGATAAAGGGGTATGGATTCCATGGTAAAGTGCTGTAAACGTTAACGTTTTCATCATATATTTCTGTCCCCCTTGGTGGGAGTGGAGGTGACCCCTCTATGAGGACATACAGTCCATACAGACCCAGCACAAGGCCGGGGTCACACTACTAGAGGGTTCTCGGGGCTGCAGTTCCTCTGAGCTCCACAAGGTGGGGGATCTCACTTCTACCAAGACAGGAAGTCTCTATGGTAGACAGGAATCGATGTCAGATACGGACAGGAAGGGAAGCCAGCTACAGGTGGGAAGTGAGGTAAGATACAAACAGGAAGTTCCATTTGGAAGGAATTCCAGAGGAGACATTGCTGGAACTGGCAGCGGAGGAGGAGGTAATAAAATTGTATTCGATCATTTCTCCCTTCACTCTCCATGATTGGGGGCCAAATTTCTCTGTCCTGCTTTGCCCTTTAAATTCCCCTCTTTTCAGTCTAATGTTCACACAGACCAATCTATTATTTAAAGGAGAATTCCACCTTTTGGAAAAAAAAATGATTGCACACATTTGGTAAAAAAAGCAAAAATATGCATTTATTTTTTTTTGCATTGCAATGGTGGTCAGCGGAGGACGGGGGCAAGGCTCTGACTCTGCAGACCCTTCTGTCCTTACTTATTGAGTGTGAGGGGGAAGAGGGGGTTGGAGGTTCTGTTTAAACAAAAATGGATTTTTAGTCGGCTTTCTTTGCCACAACATCAAAGACTATGACAAAATATACTAATCAAGACAAATCTCTGCAATGGAAATCACATTTCTGATCTGGTAGGACAAAGGGTGAGAGGCTCCCGGATCCCAAAACCAAAGCAAACCCAAAACTGAATGTTCCTCTGTGTGGAATCCCACTTCCATGATAGAAACCCTCATATTATCCCCCCTCCCCCCCCATCCTAATATTGTACAACCAGTACAGTCCGGATCATTCTCTGTTATCAATTATTGGTCTACAGGAAACCTGTATAGATCACATGACCAATGAGGATGGAGGAGGACCGGAGTCACATGACTGAGAGGATACTAAACCTCACCCTGGAGATCATCTACCTGCTGACCGGAGAGGTGAGGAGGATTCTGGGAGGTCACATGACATCACTCTGGTCCCTATTAATAAAACACAGACCTGACTGGAGAGGTGAGGAGGATTCTGGGAGGTCACATGACATCACTCTCATCTCTATTAATAAAACACAGACCTGACCGGAGAGGTGAGGAGGATTCTGGGAGGTCACATGACATTACTCTCATCCCTATTAACAAAACACAGACCTGACCGGAGAGGTGAGGAGGATTTCTGGGAGGTCACATGACATCACTCTCATCTCTATTAACAAAACACAGACCTGACCGAAGAGGTGAGGAGGATTCTGGGAGGTCACATGACATCACTCTCATCTCTATTAATAAAACACAGACCTGACCGGAGAGGTGAGGAGGATTCTGGGAGTCTAACATGATATTCCTATTGGTTCCCCAATACAGAGATTTCCTCCTCTGAAGTCAGGTGATCATATGACCATCACAGTGCCTCCATGTGACTCCCTAAACCCTGAGAGACACAACATGCAGAAGATTCTAGAAGTCACCAAGAAGATGATGGAGCTGCTGACAGGAGAGGTGAGCAGTGCCGGAATTTTTGGGACATGTGGGATGTGTGTGGATGGTGACATCATCATGGAAAATGGATCCAGAATATGGGAACCCACCAGAGAGATGTCCCCGTCCTCTGTATTCCCGGGATTCCACACAGGAATGTCACACCATCCCTCACCATTATCAAGGTAGATGGATCCAGTCATGGGAACCCACCAGAGAGATGTCCCCCCGTCCTCTGTATTCCCGAGATTCCACACAGGAAGGTCACACCATCCCTCACCTTCATCAGGTAGATGAGGAACAATTCACTGATAGTATCATTAGGATCTGTACATTATCTGCATTGTTACCATTGATGTCATTTTATTATATATTCAGAGTGGAAACCTGAGAGAGTCTAAAGTTGAGGTTAAAGAAGAGAAAACAGAGGAGGATGATGAGGATGGGGGGATGGAGGAGTCAGAGATTCCAGAAGGACACAAAGATCTGTACCAGGACACACATGATGGAGTCATCCAGCTACAGGAACCCACCAAAGAGATGTCTCCATCCTCTGTATTCCCGGGATTCCACACAGGAAGGTCACAACTATGCAGAACATGATCAGGTAGATGAGGAACAATTATCAGTAGTTTTGATTTCTATACAGGTGTATGTGTTAAAAATAAATGTTGCATTTATATTCAGAATAGAAACACAATGGAAGATAATATTGTTGTTAAAGAGGAGGATGAGGAGATCAGAGTGATGGAGGAGCTTTTCTGAAGGACATAGTGATGGTATCATGGAGCCACCTAATACCAGGAACCCACCAGAGAGATGTCCCCGTCCTCTGTATTCCCAGGATTCCACACAGAAAGGTCACACCAACCCTCACCATCATCAGGTAGATGGATCCAGTCATGGGAACCCACCAGAGAGATGTCCCCATCCTCTGTATTCCCCAGGATTCCACCAGGAAGATCACACCACCCTCACCATCATCAGGTAGGTGGAGTTAAGGTCGGGAACATAAAGTGATGGAACCCTCTGACATGTGGAGACGATGTGTGGACTCTACAAGATGAGATGTTCTATGTGATCTCACATCATAAATCCTTCTATGTTACAGATGTTATTTTCCTGCCATTCTGTTGGTTTAGGGTGAAGATCTGATGAACATGAAAGTTGAGGGTGAAGTAGAAAGAGACGTATGTGAGGGATGATCAGCAATATACGGAGGAGGCTGGAATGAGGAGGACATTCATAGAGGAGGACACTCCTACAGAGATCAGCACAGGTGACCAGAATATATTCTTCTCTTATCTCTGCTCTGTTACCGCCCCCCCAACCCCCCATTGGTTCCTGCTCCTCTGACAAGGCGGTGTAAATGTAGAAGTGATCTGGGAGGACCAAAGGCCTTTTGAAGAGGGGAGATCCAGCTGGTTGGGACATCCACAGAGAACATCTGCTCCCTCCTATCTCCCTGATCCAGATGGAATCTTGATGGAAGTGAACTAACCCTCTCCTATCTATTGATGATGTTTTTCTATTTTTCCAGGACCCGCCATGGAGAAACCCTCAAAGGATCGTCTCACTTTATCTCCATGGTTGTAAAATGGAAGATGAGGACATCCCAGGAGATTGTGCCAGAGAAAAGACAATGAGCTCCACTATGGATGGTGGACTTCCCAGTGTGGAGAGACCATGGAATCCCCTCTGACTCTGAGAAACCTCGTACTGTGGGGGATGGGGCTGGGATTCTGTGGAAATGGGAATTTTTCCTGTCCTGAATGCGGGGAAATTGTGAACTCAGAACAAAGTCTTCTTGAACATCAGAGATCTCATGCAGAGGAGAAACCGCATTCCTGCCCAGAGTGCGGGAAAAGCTTTATGCACAAATCAGTTCTCGATGTACATATGAGGTCTCACACGGGGAGAAACCATTTTCCTGCCTGAGTGCAAGAAATGTTTTACACAGAAGGCCCATCTGTCTCGACATCAGAGATCACACCACGGGCGAAAAGCCATATTCCTGCACGGAGTGCGGGAAATGTTATACACGGAAATCAGAACTTATTATACATAAAAGATCTCACACTGGGGAGAGGCCGTATTGCTGTTCTGAGTGCGGGAAATGTTTTTCAAGTAAAAGCAGTCTTTTCATCCATCAGAAATATCACACGGGTGAGAAGTTTTACTCCTGCGCTGAGTGCGGGAAAGGTTTTTTTACAGAAGGCCCATCTTGCTAGACATCAGAGATATCACACAGTTGAGAAGCCATATGCCTGCCCTGAGTGCGGGAAATGTTTTGCGCAGAAATCAGAGCTTGTTGTACACAAAAGAGCTCACACTGGGGAGAGGCCATTTTGCTGCCCCCAGTGCAGGAAATGTTTTTCACAGAAGCACTATCTTACCAAACATCTGAGAATTCACATGGATGAAAAGCTGTATTCCTGTCCTGAGTGCGCAAAGTGTTTTTCACAGGCGTCAAATCTTAACAAACATCTGAGATTGCACGCGGGTGTGAGGCCGTATTCCTGTCCTGAGTGCGGTAAATCTTTTCACAAAAGTCCACTCTTACCATTCATCAGGTATGTCACACGGGGAGAAGCCGCATTCCTGTCCAGAGTGCGGGAAGTGTTTTTCACAAAAGTCTGCTCTTACCATACATCAGGTATGTCACACGGGGGAGAAGCCACATTCCTGTCCAGAGTGCGGGAAATGTTTTCCACGAAAGTGCAGTCTTACTAAAACATCAGATATACCACAGACGGGAAAAGGTGTTTTGCTGTATTGAGTGCGGAAAAATGTTATCCACAATGAATCAGAGCTTGTTAAACATCAAAAATCCCACACAGAGGACAAGTCCTATCCCTGTCCCGAGTGTGGAAATGTTTTCCATGGGGGGGGGGGAAATCAGACCTTGTTGCACATCAGAGATCTCACACGGGGGAGAAGCCATTTGGCTGCGCTGAGTGCGGGAAATATTTTTCACAGAAGTCCAGTCTTACCAACCATCAGCTATTGCACTCGGTGTAAAGCCGTAATCTTGTCCCGAGTGCGGAAAAAGTTTTTCACGAAAGTCCCAACTTATTGTACATCAGAGATCTCACACGGGGGAAAAGCCATTTTCCTGTTCAGAGTGTGGGAAATGTTTTTCACGAAAGTCCAATCTTAACCGAACATCAAGTATGTCACACGGGCAAAAGCCATTTTCCTGCCCTGAGTGCGGGAAGTGTTATCCACGAAAACCAGAACTTGTTAAACATCAAAGATCTCACACTGGGGAGAAGCCCCTTATCCTGCCCTGAGTGCGGGAATGTTTTTTGCACAGAAGTCTTATCTTACTCAGCATCAGAAAACCCACACATCCTCTTAGGTTATTAGTGCCCCCGAGTGCGGGAAATGTCTTCTATATGGATGATATGTTGCCGTACATCAGAGAACCCACACAACCCTCGAGGTGTATTAGTGTCCTGATTGCGGAAATGTCTTCTATAGGGATGAAATGTTGCCATACATCAGAGATCTCACACAACCCTCGAGGTGTATTAGTGCCTCCAGTTCGGGAAAATGTCTTCTATATGGATGATATGTTGCCGTACATCAGAGAACCCACACAACATCCTAGGTGTATTAGTGTCCCGAGTGCGGGAAATGTCTTCTATAGGGATGATAGCTTGCCGTACATCAGGGAACCCACACCACCTTCGAGGTGCATTAGTGTCCTGAGTGCGGGAAATGTCTTCTATATGGATGATATGTTGCAGTACATCAGAGATCTCACACTGGGAAGAAGCACACCTTGATATACACCTCAGAAAACACGTGGCTGAGCGCTCCCCTGATCTTTAGGCCTCCAGAAGAAATAAAAAATAATTTTTCTTATCGAATGGAATTTGCAAATTTTATTTCTCTTATGTACGGATTCTAGATGCTCATGCAGAGAGAGGAGAAACATCAGCACAATAACACATTTTGTTCGTCCCTTACACACGCGTCACCTTCTCAAACAAGTCTTTTCTTTTTTGTTCCCTGGATAGGAAGACTTCCGTAGGTCCCAGAAAATAAAGACTGGTTGGGATGCTAGGAGGCCAACGACCCCCTGTGCCCTAGCAACCAGAGACGTCATCCCGGCCTCATTCAGTTTTCCCAACAGGAGTGTGGAAATGGTGAGGGTGTGGCCATATTGGATCATTGAACCAACCAGCGTCGTCCCTGCCTTTGTTTACATCCAGGGGGCCCCTCGGTTGTAACCAAAGTGTATGGGAATTGGTTGGCCGTTGGGATCGCCTTTCAACCTAGCTTGACTAAGGCCCTGCAGGGCTCAGGGGTGTCCAACCGGCGGCCCTCCAGCTGTTGCGCAACTACAAGTCCCATCATGCCTCTGCCTTTGGGAGTCATGCTTGTAACTGTCAATCTTGCATTGCCTTGTGGGGACTTGTAGTTTGGCAACAGCTGGGGGGGCCGTCCCCAAGAAATGATTTTGGTAGGACCTTAGATGTGCTTCCCCCACAGGTCCTACCTTTTCATAGTCAGTGAGAATACCCAGCACCTCCAGGAATGATGGGGTTTATGAGACCTGATCCCATAGAATGGACCCATGCCCTTCAGTTCTAGTCTTAGAGTGCTTACCAAGACCACCGCCCTATCTCAGTAGGGTTAGAGAAGCTTTTAGGAAGCCTCACGAAGTTACTGGATTTTACTATGTTTATAGATCGGGGCAGCACTCCCAGTAGGATCTGCATTGGGAACCACCAGAGCTGAAGGTTCTGAGAGGGCTTCTAGAAGGTTTCTCAAAGGTTTTTGGAAATACCTGCTCTGTACACGGCTCTCAGACCACCAGGGGAGGAGTGGTAACCTAATAACCTCCCATGGAAACTAATCACTTCCAACTGACACCCAGTGTTCCCTCTCTGTACCTCCTGCCTACAGAGGTGGAAGAGAGCCTCAGATGCATCCGATGTTCTGAGAGGGCTTCTAGAAGGTTTCTCAAAGGTTTTTAGAAATACCTGCTCTGTACAGGCTCACAGACCACCAGGGGAGGAGTGGTAACCTAATGACCTCCCATGGAGACTACTCCCTTCCAGCTGACACCCAAGTGTTCCCTCTATGACACCCTGCCTGCAGAGGTGGAAGAAAGCCGATGTTCTGAGAGGGCTTCTAGAAAGTTTCCCAAAGGTTTTTCTTTTTTGGTTTTGGAAATACCTGCTCTGTACATGGCTCAAAGACCACCAGGGTGTGGAGTGGTAACCTAATGACCTCCCATGGAGTCTACTCGCTTCCAACTGACACCCAGTGTTCCCTCTATGTACCTCCTGCCTGCAGAGGTGGAAGAAAGCCTCAGATGCATCCGATGTTCTGAGAGGGCTTCTAGAACATTTCTCAAAGGTTTTTTTTGGTTTTAGAAATACCTGCTCTGTACATGGCTCGCAGACCACAGAGGAGGAGTGGTAACCTAATGACCTCCCATGGAGACTACTCACTTCCATGTGACACCAGTGTTCCCTCTCTGTACATCCTGCCTGCAGAGGTGTGGAAGAGAGTTTCAGATGCATCTGATTTCTGAGAGGGCTTCTAGAAGGTTTCTCAAAGGTTTTTGGAAATACCTGCTCTGTACAGGGCTCACAGACCAGCAGGGAGGAGTGGTAACCTAATGACCTCCCATGGAGAACTACTCACTTCCAACTGACACCCAGTATTCCCTCTCTGTACCTCCTGCCTGCAGACGTGGAGAGAGCCTCAGATGCATCCGATGTTCTGAGAGGGCTTCTAGAAGGTTTTCTCAAAGGTTTTTGGAAATACCTGCTCTGTACACGGCTCACAGACCAGCAGGGGAGAGTGGTTGTAACCTAATTACCTCCCATGGAGAATACTTGCTTCCAAGTGACACCCTGTGTTCCCTCTCTGTACCTCCTGCCTGCAGAGGTGGAAGAAAGCCGATGTTCTGAGAGGGCTTCTAAGAAAGTTATCTTCTCAAAAGGTTTTTTTTGGTTTTGTGGAAATACCTGCTCATCAGTACACGGCTCACAGACCACCAGGGTAAGTAATGGTAACCTAATGACCTCCCATGGAGAGGTGGAAGAACGCCTCAGATGCATCCACTGTCTGGCAGGAGAAAAAGGTCATGGTGGAGGTGATTGGAAACACCTTGGCTGCTTGGATGGGCAGCAGAGATCTCCCATGCATGCTGCCAACCTTTACAGGTGTGCTTCTTTATCAGGTTTTGGTGGACTTACCAAAGCAATTGACGATCATTGCTGCTCCCTCATTTGCTGCTCCACATCTGAATCCTTGTTGTCTGAGCTGCTCACGTAGTGGAGTTGCAGTACCCAGGATTTTCTGACCATCCTCACTGTCCCCAGAATAAGATGTCAGGTAGGTGTGGACAGCCATAGCTGGAATAGCAGCCACATAGTGTGAAGCTCCCAGGCAGGCCCCTGAAGCTTAATTGCACATATTGGCCCTGCACCCTTGGATGCCAGCTACCTCATGTTTCCATGCTGGGGTCTAAGGTCTCTGCTGTATTCTCCCCTTTGAAGGGCTTCCTCCTCCCATACTTGACTAAGCCTCCACCATGACGTCCACGGGATCAGGGGCCATTTCCACCCTTTCCCCTATCTGCTGGGGTTCTTTGCTTCCCAATACCAGATGTGGGACATTGAGTAAATGTGCAGATCGAATGATAGGCTATCATCCTTCATCTGACCACTTCTCTCACACATCCAAGGCCTAAATCTAGTTTTAGGACACTTCCAACCAGGTGGGTCCCATTGAATCGCATCCATGCTTGCAGGATTAAGGAGAGC